GTCTAATTATTTTTAGGACGAGCGTCCTGTTTCTAGGCTGGCCAAACTATATTTTATTTTGGCGCGAAACACACCCCATAATCACGAATCACACCTCATACGCGAGGGACTGTGGTGGCGAGTCCACAGTCTCCTCTGTCTCGACACTCATCACATCCACCTTCTCGGAGGAATATAGATGAAGCGTCTTGCTCTCTCTCTCTGGGGGGGTGGGAAGAAACCGCAGCGCGGGCTTCCGAACACTGAGCGAGAGAGCCGCGGATCTAGCGGGTGAGGACCGAGAAAAGGACGAGCCCGTCTCGGATCCCTCCGCTAAATCCACCCGCGATCCCCACGACAACAGTCTACGCCGTGCCTCGGCAACAGCGGGACCGCTGCCAGCGGGATCGCGAGCCTGGCCGCTCTCATCAAACACAGCCAGGCGAGAGCGGAGCATACGCAGCGAGAGTAACTCGCAGTGATGACAATCAGCTCCTCGACAGCTGACCGTGCATGCTCCGCTTCCAAACAAACGAAACACAAAATCGTGTGTATCCCCCGCCGCCAGATATCGTGGGCAGGGAGGAACACAGCGTTTGTAATGCCGTTCGCTCGCCATAGACTTTTTCATGATTGTTTTTATATATGCTTGTGCGGACAGACAACAGTAAATAGACAGACACATACACATACCGGATGCGCTTTTATACTTTCTGGTGCTTACGTCACCCCGCTCGTGACGTCTCGCTACTCCATTGGACTGATTTGACACCTGCTTCAGAACGTGGTCATGCAAGGGCGTTCCCAAAGCGACTTCGACGCAGCTCGAGTTCCTGAAGGGGAACTGTTCTCATGAGACTGTAAACTTTAGCCGCGGAATTTGTTAACTAACACATTATAAAGAAAAAAAGGTATACTCACTTCATCTGTAGGTGAAACTGGATCACAAATGATTCGCACGAACATAGGTAGATCAGGGGGTGCAATCCCTTCAAAAACAAACGTAATCCACTGCGTCTTCAGCGGCTCAGATGTCGGGAGTAAATGACGACTGCTATGTTCATTATTACATCCAACAACAAAACACCTCAATCACTTAGGAGCCATTCTTGTCTACGTCCCTGCTCCAGTGTCGAAACAATGGTGGACTGTGTACAGCTCACTCAGGGCGGGTCTAAGGCAAGACGGCCTTGTCAATCAACAATCGTGGGAGGGGCCTGAGCAGAACTATGTCACTCTGCCAAGAATCTCAGAACAGTCTGATCTGAGAAAGTGATCATTATTATTGGGGATTTAAAAAAAAAAGTACTGGCTGGATTTTTATCATTATAGGGTTGATGTGTACACACACTGCCAACACACATTTCAGTTCAAACACCATGTAAAACTAAAGTTTGCTGTATGTAAGAGAAAAAAATTCTAAAGATACAGATTGGAATTGAAATCTACAGACGCAAATAGATAAAGTGTCATAAAATAATGAGAGGATTCTGGTTTCTAATCCGCTACAGCTACATAAAGATTGGCGATAAGGAATGCGAGTACAACCCCAGTTTCCGTCTGATCCTTCACACCAAGCTGGCAAACCCTCACTACCAGCCGGAGCTCCAGGCTCAGTGTACGCTGGTCAACTTCACGGTGACACGGGACGGGCTGGAGGACCAGCTGCTGGCAGCCGTGGTCAGCATGGAGAGACCCGACCTGGAGGAGCTGAAGGTACGTTGGTCTCCTCTCAGTCAGATGCTCTCTGAGGAACATCACAGCCATATCAGATCACTCTCTCCACGCTTAATTGCGGGACGGGTTAAGTAGATGGTATTTGACAGGTGTTCTGGAGCTTAATTGGATTCATCAATTTCTGAGGTCTAAATTGGCTGAACTCAAAGATAATTAGTCAGCATGCGCTGACGGACAGAACGGTCAATCATAGCGGTTCTGCACGCATATTTGAGGCTCCAGTCTTCTCACCTTTGCTTACAAAGGGTAATTGGTGCTTTACTTTTTGCACTTTCATGCATATAATTAGCACACTTTCCCTGAGCATTTTTTTTTTAATGACCAACACATACGCACATGTATATTAGTACATTAACAACATTACTGTAAGTAATTAGCTGGAATGGTCATGCAATTGTGCCACATTAAGAACTTCCCCATTAAGTTTTTTTTTTCAGCCTATCAACTTTTTTTTTCTCGTTTTACTCCATTTCCTCTTCCTGAAATGTCTGACAGATGCTGAAGCTTTCATTTGAGAACAAATTACAACAAACTGAAGAAGTGTTTTTGAATAACTGACAGGAAGTGAATGCGGTTATTTTGAGATGTGCATTCCGTAAAATTGAAATGTTACTTAATGAAGCTTGATTAATTAGTGTATCATAGCTGAGATCCTAAAGATGGGGAAACGCTACTGAACTCTCTTATCATCTTAATTAATATTAAAAGTTGCAAGAAAAGCGTGACAATCCCTCAGCACCTCAGCAGAGTTTCCTCGCTGATCGTTATACTCTGGTCAGTGTTTGCTGGATTTATAATTAGATTTTATGCAACCGCACCGCGGGGATGCGCTTTCTTATTTAGATGTTTTTTAGAGGGTTTGTTTTTAATCCCTGGCTTGTTTTACATCAGGCAGTACCAACATAATTGCGCTGAGCAAACTTGAGCAGTTTTTTTATCTTATTACTTCGTGAGATCTGCACATCCGCCAAGGCCATTAGATGAAGTAAATGTCACTGTGATCGGTGGAGAGCCGCATCAGTCTCGTCTAATGAGCAGGACTACTCTGCTCTGAAATCATCTGACCAACGTCACTTTGGGTTGCATAATTACTCGGCTGAGATTGTAAGCGTACCGAGTTCCTTCACAATAAGCGTGGGGCTGCTAGTTAATTGTTTGTTTTGCAGGTCTGGGTTAATTGGACGCACAAGATGCCAGTGGAAATGTAATCATTAATGAGTGACTCATTAGGATGGGATAGTTGAACATACCTGTTTTCCTCCTCTCTGATGAGAGGTCGTGTCTCTGAACCCAGCTGTTTTTCTCCAGAGCTGTTGTTTGTAAAAGTCTCACAGAGGCTCTGGTGGTCACTGACGGAGCGACGTTATTATACTTGAGTTTTTTTGCAGATTGACCTCTTCAGGAATGAGTTTTGTCTTGACGGTTCAATACTCTCGCCGGCGATGACGGCTCTCTGATTTGAGATCATCAGCGAGAGAGTGTATGTGTGTGTGTGTTTGTTTCTCTATCCAAACGTGGGAAATGGATCCATCAGCATTGACAATCCCATCACACGCTGGCGGATGTGGTTTTTGATGTCCGTTAATCCGCGCAAAGACTAGCTTCAATTATCCTGCATACATTGATCTCTGCAGCTGTTCAGATGCTCTCTCATGTCCATGACTTTGCCCCTTGGCTCTTGTTTTCACGAATCTTCGCACATCCTTCCACACACGTCTTTCTGTGTCTTTTACTTTGTAGTCGAACCTCACAAAGCAACAGAACGGCTTCAAAATCACATTGAAAACTCTGGAGGACAACCTGCTCTCACGGCTCTCCTCCGCGTCCGGAAACTTCCTGGGAGACATTGAGTTGGTGGAGAACCTGGAGATAACCAAACGAACGGCGGCCGAGATTGAAGTCAAGGTGTGTTCTTGGGTTTTCAGCTACAGTAACATCTTCCCATGAGTGATTTACAGTAAATAAATGAATTTTGCTATAAAAATACAGTATATTTTAAGTTTTACAGATCTGCAAATCAGTATATATTTCATTAACTTTCGATTAAACAAATGACTAAAATCACTTTTTACCATTAGAATATGCAGACAAACACCATTTTCACCATATAGCATCAGGAACTTATAGTTAACAAATTAACATTTTTCTACCAGAGCATTTTTTCAGTCTTTTACTGTCATAATTTCAATTTTTTGTTTTTTTTTGCAGTTTTAGATACTGTATAATAAATATACATATTATGTACAGTTTGATAGTAGCACAACAGTTTCCATAAAATATATTTGATTAAAATTAAAATAAAAGTTACCATTTATATAAAAATTATATAATAATAATAATATTTATAAAAATATAAAATTGAAATATATAAAAATATAATTAATTAAATTATGGTTAAATCTGACATTAAAATCCACTCATGAATGTAGTTTTAGTCAATACAATCTCATTAGCAACATGAAATAAGAATATTACAACAAAATGTAAGTTATATTCTTACAATAACACTAAAAACAACACACATAACCAAAAAGGCAAGATGGACACATAAGTCTATACACTTATGTAATTATATATTCAAAAAATAAAATAAAATAATATTTTAACCACAAAACGATATAAATAAACTTTCCATTGATGTATGGTTTATTAGGACAGGACAATATTTGGCCGAGATACAACTATTTGAAAATCTGGAATCTGAGGGTGCAAAAAAATCTAAATATTGAGAAAATCATCTTTAAAGTTGTCCAAATGAAGTTCTTAGCAATGCATATTACTAATCAAAAATTAAGTTTTGATATATTTACGGTAGGAAATGTACAAAATATCTTCATGGAACATGATCTTTACTTAATATCCTAATGATTTTTGGCATAAAAGAAAAATCGATAATTTTGACCCATACAATGTTTTTTTGGCTATTGCTACAAATATACCCCAGCGACTTAAGACTTTTGTGCTCCAGGGTCACATTTGTTGATATTTATTTGAGTTATTAGTCATGAAAGTGATGAAATTCAGCAGCATATTAACATACATACTAACACACATATTAACAAATTAATAATGATCCTGATCTTGTTTTGCTGCGCTCCAGGTGAAAGAGGCTAAGGTAACGGAGGCTGAGATCAATGACGCGCGGGAACACTACCGTCTGGCGGCGGCCCGCGGTTCGCTCCTATACTTCATCATGAACGACCTCAATAAAATCCATCCCATGTACCAGTTCTCTCTGAAGGTAGCGCCAACCTGACCTGCACAAGCTCTTAAAAACCTGTTGTTTATTTCCCAGTGCTCCAGGATTTAGTTATTGTGTTTCTCTCCTGCTTTTATGGAGCTGTGTTTGTCCCATGCTAACACAACTATTTAGCCGTCATGAACTACAGCAGTTAATATAATGTTCTACAGACGCTCAGTGTATTACTGCACTAGCTAATAACACAGGGATCACTATGGCTACATTTATTATACTTTATTATGTTTTATATTGCGCTATCGTTTGATCCAAACTGAATGTGATGAGATTTAGACTGTGTACCATGAAATAATACAAAGATAATACATAGGCAACACGTCATCACTGGTTGCAAGCAAAAGCAAACACGCTGCTTCCAGCATCTGTTCATTTAATGAATCATTCCAAAATAGTCACAAAGTATCTATATATGTGACTCACATATTGAGATGCAAGTTATCAATACTATTGTCAGACTTAAACCCAGAAGGATAAACTTGTATTTTTATTTTATACAAATATACCCCAGCGACTTAAGACTTTTGTGCTCCAGGGTCACATTTGTTGATATTTATTTGAGTTATTAGTCATGAAAGTGATGAAATTCAGCAGCATATTAACATACATACTAACACACATATTAACAAATTAATAATGATCCTGATCTTGTTTTGCTGCGCTCCAGGTGAAAGAGGCTAAGGTAACGGAGGCTGAGATCAATGACGCGCGGGAACACTACCGTCTGGCGGCGGCCCGCGGTTCGCTCCTATACTTCATCATGAACGACCTCAATAAAATCCATCCCATGTACCAGTTCTCTCTGAAGGTAGCGCCAACCTGACCTGCACAAGCTCTTAAAAACCTGTTGTTTATTTCCCAGTGCTCCAGGATTTAGTTATTGTGTTTCTCTCCTGCTTTTATGGAGCTGTGTTTGTCCCATGCTAACACAACTATTTAGCCGTCATGAACTACAGCAGTTAATATAATGTTCTACAGACGCTCAGTGTATTACTGCACTAGCTAATAACACAGGGATCACTATGGCTACATTTATTATACTTTATTATGTTTTATATTGCGCTATCGTTTGATCCAAACTGAATGTGATGAGATTTAGACTGTGTACCATGAAATAATACAAAGATAATACATAGGCAACACGTCATCACTGGTTGCAAGCAAAAGCAAACACGCTGCTTCCAGCATCTGTTCATTTAATGAATCATTCCAAAATAGTCACAAAGTATCTATATATGTGACTCACATATTGAGATGCAAGTTATCAATACTATTGTCAGACTTAAACCCAGAAGGATAAACTTGTATTTTTATTTTATTTTTCCCCTCTAACTGCAGCACAGAATTCTTTAGGAAACACTTTATTTTAATATTCATAAGAAGAGCTTTGCAGACATAAATGGAGAATAGATTATGAATGTATAGTTAATTTGTACGCTGGTTTTCTTGTGTTTTCAGTCATCATGCTGACAAGATACAATTTACAGCTATCAAAAAATAATTGCCTTTTCCTTTGTGTACAAATTTATGAAGAGGAATCTTGATCTTCCCCAGAACTAGTTACAAAAGTGTTTCATTAGAGAATGAGAGAAAAGCAGAAGAGTATTAAATCAAGTTCTTTCTCTGTCCTGTAATGCGTGCGTTTGTGTGCTCCTCACGTCCAGGCCTTCAACGTTGTGTTTCAAAATGGTGTACTAAACGCCGACCCAGACGAGACCGTGAAACAACGGGTCTTAAATCTGATCGACAGCATCACGTCGTTGGTGTTCCAGTACACCACCCGCGGCCTCTTCGAGTGTGACAAACTCACCTACACCGCCCAGCTGGCCTTCCAGGTGAGCCTCCGCTTCCGCAACATATGCCACGGCTCCTCCGGCTTCTCTTAAACACGCATTTATCTCCGCTTTAGGTCCTGCTCATGAATAAAGAGATCAATCTCCGCGAGCTGGACTTCCTGCTGCGCTACCCGGTGCAGCCGGGCTTGATGTCACCCGTCGACTTCCTGTCCAACCACTCCTGGGGAGGAATTAAAGTGAGTTACTCAGTGTAACGGTTTTAGTGAAGGACGTCAGTGTCTGTGTTGATTTTTGATTTGCTTTGCTCACGTCTCTCTATTATTCATTTGTACGAAAGGATGAAAATGTGGCCGCAGGGAGCAGAAGCATCATATCGCTGAACAAACTCTCTGTCCTCATCATATCTTAATATAGGTTCATTTGGCCGCTCAAACACATTCACCAAATCTGCTCAAAAGCGAGATGAGCTTTAATGTCAGGAAAGCTGTTAGCTGAAGTTATCGTCAAGATGCTTTTTTTTGTTGCTGCTTTTGATTTTGCTGAATAAATCATGATCCACATTCATGGTATGAAATCAGAAGCTCGGACATTCCACATGAGATCTTTGTGTTTTCAAATTTTTCATTTTTGGGTAAACTATTAATTTCTTATACTTCAACTATATACAGTAAATATTAGCTTTAATACTACTACTACTACTAATAACAACAACAGCTATTATTGTTAATAATAATAATAAATTGGCATTATTGTTGTTGTTGTTATTATTAAAGGTGGGGTAAGTGATTTCTGGTAGCCAATGTTGACATTTCAAATCACCAAAACAAACACGCCCCTTCCCCAAAAGGGTCTCGCCCTATTTTGATAGCTCCGCCCCACACATATGTACGCAACCCAGGCAACGATTAGTTCTGTGAAACAAAGCAAAACCAATGTTACACCGTGTCTACACCAGACACGAGTGGCGCGGCGCGACAAAATACTATAGAGCTCATTATAATCAGTGATGCTGTGTACACTTCCCCGACAGAAAACTGCTGCTGCTGTGTTCTATTTATGACATATTGACACAAATTTCAAATGATTTTCAGTGGTCGCTTTGTCGAGTCCAGTGTAGAGTAGACTTTAGTCGCGTAGACAACTGTCGCGTCTGGTGTAGACACGGTCTTACTCACCTATCGAGAAGAAACAAAGCAACCTCGGCGTCCGATCGCAGGCCTTACGCTCCTTGAGTTCTCTCCAGCACTGGAAGGCTGATCCGATATTTACATGGGTCCTACTTCTTGCCTTATCGTAAGCCTTCTTTTGTTCCGCAGACGTTTTCCTCTTATGTTTTTTATCCGCCATCTCTATCTTTCTGTCGTCGCTCGGCTCGGCTAATGTCCCTCCTCCTGTGCACTGAGCGCTCTCTCCTCCGCATCATGAGTAGACACGCCCCTTACTGCTGATTGGCTACAAGTTTGTTTTGGTACTCGGCCTGACTCAGTTTTTGAAAAAATACGTACCCCACCTTTAATATATGATAACACTTTAGTTTAGGGACCAATTCTCACTATTAACTAGTTGCTTATTAGCATGCATATTACTAGCATATTGTCTGTTTATTAGCTCATTATAAAGCACATTAATGCCTTATTCTGCATGACCATATTTTAGATCCTTGAAGCCCCGTTCACACCAAGAACGATAACTATAAAGATAACGATATTAGCGTCCACACCAGCGAACGATATCGTCTGCTTATTCTAAGTGCACATGCGTCTGCCGCTTTAAATTCTTGAGCTCGTTACAGCAGGATGGATTCTGACTGGCTGTCAGTGTTTTATCGTTCATCAGCTGGAAAAAAATCGTTTTGAAAGTGATCACAACGATATCGTTCCTCTGTATTGTTATCATTATAGTTGTGGTGTGAACTATGCTATTCTTTAATATTGAGAATGATTTTTAGAACTATTTCTTTATCGTTATCTTTATAGTTATCATGCTTGGTGTGAACGGGCCTTAAATCCTACGCTATACCTAAACTATACCTAAACTTAACAACTACATTACTAACTATTAATAAGCAGCAAATGATGAGTTTATTAAGGCAAAAGCCTTAATAGTTAATAGTGAGAACTGGTCTCCTAACTAAAGTGTGACCCTATATATTGTTGTTGTTGTCTTTTGGGGTTGAACTGTTCCTATAATATTAGAATTTGTATATTTCTTCATCGTAGATGCTATTAGGAATAAATAGTAATTATACAGAAACCATCACTTAGTTTATTGTTTAAGTGCACTACTGTACATCTAGCAATTCCTGTCTCTTCTATTCTGTCTTGAAAACTTTTACTGCTTTCTAAACGACTAACTTCACCTTCAGTGCGAACCTTCAGAAGGTTTCCTGCTGTTCTCCAGCACATCGTCAGCGATGGGAATGTAAATCTGATCTCATTTAAGAGTCCATGAGTCCGTAATGTGCTCAAATCTGCCATTAAGATATAGTGTTTCCCATAAGCAAGGCTTCCTGGGATTATGAGTCATCATCATTCTCCCGCCACTTTCGGCACCTTCGGGTCGAGCCGAGACTCCGTATGAAAGAATGGCGTATGTCACAGCGTTGTTCTTCTGAGAGGAGATAAATATAAGTGCGCAATAGGAAATCCTCTGTTCTGCTGCCTAAGCGCTTCTGAAAGCCTGCGTTATGAAGAAACACGTTCATGTTTACTCAGCCGTTTGTGCCATAAAGACACTTTACTTTGTAGTTCGATTTGATTAGCGCTTTGACAATGTTGTATCTGAGCTCTTTATTCTGTCCAAGGCTTACATGTCTGTCATCATCTTATTGATGAAACGCTTAGCTGAGACATCAGATATATATTCGGAAAGTCCTGCAGTGTGACATGCTAAACTCCAGCTTTTTGCTAAGTATTTTATAATTATTATGCATGCAGCTTGTATGGCTTCATATTAATTCTGAGACGACTTGACATATTTGGACACCGCAGGACTATTTCACATAATCTGAAGTCCATAGACATATTGTGCATCAAGTGCCTTTTGAACCTTTTTCACTTCCGCTGGTTTTGTGTGGTATCTGTAATCAGTATTTTATCTCGTTAAGGATTTATTTAATAGAAAATGTGCTTATTTTATGGTGATGTTGTTTCAGGCTCTCAGTACGATGGAGGAGTTTCATAACCTGGACCGTGACATTGAAGGATCGGCTAAACGCTGGAAGAAGTTTTCAGAGTCCGAGTGTCCGGAGAAAGAGAAGTTCCCTCAGGAGTGGAAGAACAAGACGTCACTGCAGAGGCTGTGCATGATGAGAGCGCTACGGCCCGACAGAATGACCTACGCCGTCAGGTCACATGTCAATCCGTCCTTCAGCATCATACCTCAGTGTTTGCAGACATGTTTTCCCAGGAGTGTGTGAATCTGTGTTTTTGCTCAGCTGCATTCCTACAAAACATTTACTTAATTAACTGAAAAAATTGTTACAAAAAAAAAGTGTGAATCTACACCTTGAGTAAAGACTCATTTAGAGGTGCGGCTCAATAAGTAGTGAGTCAGATGGTGATTCGATGAAGCTCTGATGAATTCAGTTCATTTAGTCAGACTGATTCAAATCAATAAGAGTAATTTTTTCATGAATCAGATCTCAATTGAATCTGTCCCAGAATCTTAGTCAGCCTAGTCAATGGATAGTATTTTTTTTTCTACATTAGCTTTATATTCGCTCATTCCTGCTTTATAGATTTAGTAGTTCTGTGTTTCTACAGTCCATGATGCTTGACCTTTAGGGAGACACAGGCAGTGTTTATATAATAAGACAGCACAGGCTGGTGTCTAAAACAATCAGTTTCCACAGATGTGCTGAATTTGTGCTCTTTATTATGATTCGGAAGTGCATCATTATTACAGTATGATCATAATGAGTTCTTCAGTTTGAAAAAGCCAAATACGATTCTTTCACCCTTCAGAGATTTCGTAGAGGAGAAGCTGGGCAGCAAGTATGTAATGGGGCGCTCGCTGGACTTTGCCGTGTCATATGAGGAGTCTGGAGCCGCCACACCCATGTTCTTCATCCTGTCCCCTGGAGTCGACCCGCTGAAGGATGTGGAGAAACACGGTACAGATGCATGTGATCTCCAAATGAAGACCATTTACATCATTTCCCCAAAATGCTGCAGTAATCGCCTGTGATTTTAAAGCTAAGGTGTCATTTTGGCATTTTCAAAATGAGCCTGTTAAGATCAGCAGATACCTACAATCCAGACCAATACATTTTGTGTATTTGCTGTCTTAAACTAAACTTAATGTGTTCGAGAGAGTCTGTCGGTGTAAGCAGGCTAATTACTGTGTCCAGACTTTTCCTCAAAGGCCAATTTGAAGGTTTATTGATAGTCTTGCTCTGTTTGTCCATGAATGACTGAGTGTGAGGGATCAGATTAGATACGATTAATCAGATCACACACCAGGCAATTACTGACCGCACACAGAACACCTCGCATGACTTCAGATCTGACTGTCTGTTTTGTCCTTGAATAACATCCTTCAGGAAGAAAACTGGGATATACGTTCGACAACAGAAATTTCCACAACGTTTCGCTGGGCCAGGGGCAGGAGGTGGTTGCAGAACAGGCTCTGGATCTGGCTGCGAAAGAGGGGCACTGGGTCATTTTACAGGTAAAACACACAACAAACTGCAGTAAAACCACCTCAAATCACACAGTTCTTCCTCAGGTCATTACTAAAACACATGAAGATCATCATAACCAGACCCACAGGTCTGGAGCCAGTTCAGAAAACTAAAAACATTGTCATTACTTGAAAAAAAAAAAATCTAAAATAAAAAAATGCCCCCCACTGTCCAATAAAAACGTGCAATACCCAACACTATTTATATTTCATATTATTTATACTTATTTAGAGTAACAACTTTTATTTACATTCCCTTGTATAATTGTATATAGCAATATATCTATACATATAATGTCCATTTCCTTTCTGTTATTTATATGAAATTCCAAACATAGACTCGGGTGGAGCCTAATCATTCAGTCCTGTCAATTATCGCTACGAGCGTATATAAGCAGCAGTCATTGCACTGTTCCAGCAACAATTCTTCCAGAATCCCTCTATTTCCTTCATTTCTCCATCACATACGTAAAAAAAAAATAGGAGGGGTTCTAACTCTTGAGCCGAGCATTGGGTTCGAGCCTCCTTCGAGGACAGCAAGCCAAGTTCGTTTATTATTATCTAGCAGGACTGAATGGGCAGGAAATCTCATGAATTATTCATTCATTTATTTATCTTACTACATTTGTCTTAATTGTTGTCATTCTAAGTCAAAGTCTATAGTCTAATTCTGTGCACTGGAAGCTCAAGACAGTTTCCTTGTGTGTGTGTAAGCATAGATGGTAATATGTCTAATTCTGATTCTGATTCTAAAATGATTCTGATTCTAAATCTTTAAAATGAATATGAAAAAGCAAATTGCAGACATAAAAACTATTCAGAATATTGAACATTTTAACACTGGCCTGTATGGCAGTGGTGGAGTGATGATGTACAGTTACAGTAAAGTACACCAGATTGTGATAACCTGCTGCATCCTTCAACCTGACACTGTTCACATTGCATTCAGCAGTTTCCTGATGTGCATCATTCTTTAGTGAATCGTCGTGTACTTTCCCCCTAAATGTGTAAACCAGTGCGGTATGACGGTAGCGTGTCTCAGATGAAGAATGCTGCTTGTGCATTAGCACTTAACTGGCAAAGCAAATGTCTGGCCAGCGTGTGCCTCCCGGCTGATTAATGACCTGTTGTGCTGTGCTGGGAGAGAGAAATGCCCCACACTCAAGCCGCTGCTGGCGTCCCACGGAGGCAAACAGCCGCACTCCACTAATGAGTCCATTAGAGCGCCGCCATTTCATCCCAATGTCACTGTGAAGACAGCGTCCACTCGGCCACTGCTGCTCATTACACATTAGTCTGGACGCCGTCCAACAGCCACCCAAATGTACAAATTGGCCATATGGACACGGTTTGATTAAAAAAACACAATCGTGATCAATATGTCAAGAAAACAAGGAGGGCGATGGTCTGAATTCAGATGTTTGCGATACGGACGTCTCTCATCTAGATAAACGTGCTGCATCATTGAACGCACAGGAATGAGGCTCCTGCGCAGAATCACAATGACTTATCGACGGGGATGAAACGGCAGCAGAATGTGAACATCTTTACTTGAAATCCTCCGGCTGATCTGCCGCACGCTGTGCTGATCAGAAACGCGCTATTTAATTGTCTAATTCGATAGATTCCCATCTCCGTACGGCCTTCCCACAATCTTCATCTGTCGTCTCATCTCCTGTTGCAGTCCAATTATGAATTCAGACTCGGGCTGGGAGACTGCAGGTCAATGGAAAGTTCCCCTCCAGTGAAGGTTAATTATATTGCAGCACATGGGGTCCCGGCCAGCAGAAATGCAGAAATCCACTCACTGTAGAGAGGCAATCAATCGCTAATACTAGAGCAGAAAATCCTCAGTCCTGGGAATCAAGTGGCTTACAGTGACCCGAGTCCCCCTCCCGCTAGAAATGTACCCTTTTAGATACACAATGAGTAGAGACCTGGAGAGCAAGGTGAATTCGCTCAGGGACGACTATTACTTGAAAAGCGGCTGCCAGGATAGTGTTTAACTTTAATGGCTTTTCTAGAAGGAATATGCCGCATTCAGCCAGCCGTTATCAGGGTTTACGGGCAGATTCAGCAGGAAGACCAGTTACAATAGACATGCTGTATGAGGGAACAAATCCGTTGAAATAATGAAATTATGACTCACTGTGAAGTACAGTCACATCAGTTGTGCATTTTTCTAATTTAATTATATTTTTTCCGTACAAATTATAGGATAGACTTCATAATTGGAGTGAATTCAAATGAATGTCAGAATGTCATTGTTTTCAGTGAGAATCAAATCATCTCCTAAAGAAACCACAAAACATGAAGGCATCTTCGTATTGTACACATTGAATGTGCCTGAGAAATCGCCTGCATTTTTCAGTTTCAGACACAGCCAACGACAGAAATCTCACCTGGGATAGTAAAAACTGCAGATGGCTCTGAAGCTTTTAGCTGCTGTTTCGTCTCAGAGACACATTAAGTCTGTCTGTGCTCTGGAAAAAGAAAGCCTTAATTTGTGTTGACAAGCTAAAAGTTAAAGCGGCACTTTGTTTTGTGGAGGCTTTCAGCTCACCCTTGGTACTTTCAAGTCATTGCCAGCCAATTGCAATATTTATATCATTTAGAGGTTTATGTTCTTGCATTTAAATCTTTCTGTGAATCAATAGCGCTGTTATAGTGATTTTAACACTGTGACAGTTCATTCAGCACAATGATATATTCTGCAGATAACAGCATTAAGGAGGTAATCGTTTGTGCGCCTGCATTATCAGTCATTGTTATTTTCATGGCGCAGTTGTTTTTGTAACCAGTTTCTGTTTTATGCATTAGATTTTTAACAAAATGCAAAACATTGTAATTTAGAGCTTGAGACAGTACTAAAGACATGCAAGACATGATACTTTACATGTATAGAAAAAGGATTTTTACATCCCATTTACAAAAGCCGTACTGACAAATAACAGCATACAGCACGATAATGCTTCAGGGAATTGCTTGTTGTTTAAATTGCGACTTCTGGTTGGCTGTTTTCTAAACTAGAATATCCACTTGGTGGCTAAATGGCTGGGAATGCTGGAGAAGAAGCTGGAGCAGCATGCAGAGGGAAGCCACCTGAACTTCAGGGTGTTCATCAGTGCGGAGCCGTCCTCCTCGCCCGATGGCCACATCATCCCACAGGGCATCCTGGAGAACTCCATCAAGATCACCAATGAGCCGCCCATGGGCATGCATGCCAACCTGCACAAAGCCCTGGACAACTTCAACCAGGTAGAGCGACCTGTACACGTTCACACCGCTCCAATAACACACGATGCAGCTACTCCACGGTCCTATAGGCAGCTATTATATTATGGTCAATTCATTCATAAATATTATTGTTTTTGGTGACAATGACATTTTACAACCTGAACTAATATTGCCCTGTCATAAAACCAATGATCTAATATTTTAAGACATGTATTGACCTTGACACAGTCTTGAGGCTCTGCATAGGTTTGATTGATTGATTGATTGATTTTATGTTTCTTCAGTTTTTTCTCAAATATAAATAAGCATTGATATTAGGACAGTTGTATCACTCTGACATTTCTGACTTCATGCCATGTGAAATATACCAAAATGTCCATTATAGAAAAAGTGTGTTCAAGTCACTGTATATGAATTGCATTTCTATTGCATTTTTGAATAATGCAGGGGTAAAAGTGTCATTTTATTAACCCATGTCATGTTTTCTGTAAAGTCGCATAAATCCAAATTGTGCTGCTTTGTTTATCTTGGATCTGGTTAATACAATAGTGGCCATCTGCGGGGCCTGTTTTGCTTGTTATGAGAGAGTCTCTGTTTGCGGCGCTTCTGCTAATTAAAATTCTGCATGTGTTATCGACGAACCCGATCCGTGGCGTGACTTTCCAGCTCACTCTAGGCTGATTTAGTGTGCCGATGACTATCTGCCAGATCAGTGCTGTAGCAACACTCATACTGTAGCTTTCTAGGAGGGATCCTCCGCCGAACGAGTCGTATTCTAGTCATGTACGCACCTCGAAAGTAAATCAATGGCAGAGAAAAAGGCCTAAACAGCTCTCAAACTCTAGTAAGCAGCAGTAATCCAGAAAATGACAGCTACTTTCATATTGACCTTTTTAGCTGTCCTGGCAAAGAGCAGAGTCAATTGCTTCCTGTTGGCGTTGTCAAATTCAGGGCTAATGGAAATGATTTTTAACTCTTCATGATTGGTTTGATTGTGACGAGCCATTAAACGTAGCTATAGAGATTCTGTAGACAGATCGCTGGTGTCGCGTGCAGAATGTTAATGGATCAGAGCTTCAACTCCTCCTGTTCTATTATTAAAGCTCCTTTAAAAAGTCCTTCAAAGTCAGCCGCACCAGCACAGCGACATATAAGAGCTCACACTACTGGAGATATATTCATAAGCAGAGGATATTTGTTAAACGGCATTATTGGGTTTCTTGTGCAAACAAACGAATCCCATGAGGTGGAGATGCCATTTGGACGTCAACCCCACACACACACACACTGATTGAAGTTGTTTCAAATAATGAGCCCAGCGATGAAAGCTCTGACAAGCAGTGACAATTAAAAAGGAATCTCAGCTCCTAAATATATTGGAATGGAGTCATTCTTTTGTCTGTCCTAATGCCTGGTGTCCACTGGGAATACTGACAATGAAAGAACAACGCAAAGGTTTTTACTTTCAACGCTTTCTCTTTGTTCTCCGGTCGGAGCTTGTTGGCAGAATGTGAAGCCTGATACCAATGTGTCCTAATTGACAGGATACTCTGGAGATGTGTGCCCGCGAGAACGAGTTCAAAAGCATCCTCTTCGCCCTGTGTTACTTCCACGCGGTGGTGGCGGAGCGGAGGAAGTTCGGCCCTCAGGGCTGGAACCGGAGTTACCCATTCAACACCGGAGACCTGACCATCTCCGTCAACGTGCTCTACAACTATCTGGAGGCCAACACCAAGGTGAGAGAAGCAGAGTTTATTTATGCGAGTGTACTTATTGAACTAGGGAGAGTGAAACGCCTGCTGACATCCGCTGTGTTAAAAGAGACTGATGTGGGTCTGGAGCGTGTGTAATTACTCACCCACACCTACACAACAACCTGCTCCCAATTTAATATTCATGCCCTTCATTGCATCCAGCAATTAAGCATCACTGCTTGCTTTTATGGCAAAAACCCAGTGCTAAAGAGCTATGGACTCGATCACCATTTCCTGAAGGAAATAGCAGTGCGAGGCAGCAGAGCAGTGTTAGATACGTTTGGTTCAGTGTAATGATGCGTTAAAGCCATTGTCATGATTCTCAGCAAGCGTCATGTTTCACTCGAGTGCTGCTTATGACTACAGCTATAAATGCTTTAAATATATGCTAGGACAACACCAATCACAAAACATCAATTACAGGCATAATTCAGTATGCAAATGTAGCTGTTGGTTACATTTTGATTACTTAATATGTCATTGGGAGGTTTTCAAACCTTTAAAGAGATAGTTCACCCAAAAATTCAAAATGAGTAAGCATATCCAGCCTTATGTTTTGCATAGACTGAAAGTCAATAGTAATTCATACTGCCAAGATACAAAATGGACAAATAAATTCACCAAATAGACTTGTGCACTATATTCCAACAGCAGGGGATCATCAGTGAACTATGACTTAAATTTCCATCTGGGTTCAGAAGGCTTGGAATATAGTGTGCAGTCATATAGACTGATTGTATGGTCTTTTTTAGGAGTATAAACAGTGTTGGGGAACATTCCTTTTAAAAATAATGCATTACAATATTGCAATACTCCATCAAAAAGTTACTTTGTTACTTTTTTATGGAAAGTAATGCATTGTGTTATTTCTGCGTTACTTTTTGTCATCTGGGCTGGGTTTGCTTATTTGTTTTTTAATAACAAAAAAAAAAAACTAAAAACGATATTTTTGGCTACTGTAAAGGCCCTTTCACACCAAAAGTGAAATTAATAAACCTCAGGCTGAAGGAAGTGCCTCTGCAATTCACTCGTGATTTCTCTCAACACGGGACTGGAAAACAAAGTAACTAGCATTACATATTTGAAAAAGTAACTCAGATATTTTGTTGTAAATATAAAAGTAGTGCATTATTGTACTAGTTACTTGAAAAAAGTAATCTGTTTACGTAACTCATATGCGTTACCACCAACACTGAGTATATATCACCATCTAGATGTATTATATTGAAAACAGAAGCTCAAATATTCTAGATCTTGTTTAGTATGTCACAAAATCATTTGGAAAAACCCCAACCAGAACATATGAATCCAGCGCTTTGTGCACTTTAATTATACACATTTTGTTAGTAATTAAAAAAACCCATTTGGAAGCTCTCATTGCAACAGGCCAGTGACTGTGGTTCACCAACAAACAGAGACTGGGTTGAATATGTAATGAGCTGCTGTTCTTTCCTACTCCTCTGACGCATTTCGGCTTTGCTCTCCAATCATTTTGCCCACACTCTATCTCTGCAGGTCACAGCGCTCGCATTAACCTCCTCTCACCTGGGAACAGCTTCATCTGGCTCCGGCGCCGCGCCGTCACACACCCACATTAGCTTAATCACATTACTCAGAGTTGCCATTCAAACACTCATCCGCAGGGGATGCAGAGCATGACGCTCAACACACACTAGAGAATGAATGAGTCTCATATACCTCAAACACACTTTTGGGAGCAGTGAAACACCTCAGAAGAGCAGCTTAGTGCTTTCAGTGCTGTGGTTTAGTGGTTTAGACTAGTTTAGGTTTAAACTGTCATCTCTTCATCTAGGTGCCCTATGATGACCTGCGCTATCTCTTCGGTGAGATCATGTATGGGGGTCACATCACCGACGACTGGGACCGCAGGCTGTGCCGCACATATCTGGAGGAGTTCATCAAGTTGGAGATGATGGAGGGAGAGCTGTATCTGGCACCCGGCTTCCGTCTGCCGGGAAACACGGATTACAACGGCTATCATCAGGTAAAGAGTTTCACCAACCCTGGCCAGTCTTGTATATCCAGATCTGTGGGACATAAAGCTGTGGGCGTGAGTGTGACATATCAGTAATGATCGCAGTGATAAGGGCAGATAGTTAGGATCTGATGGAAGTGTAGTAAAGGGTCACTACATCTGGGGTCAGACTGGGGCCTGTGAGCAGCTTGGGATTCTATGAAAATTTAAGACAAAACAAAATGATTTTATTTATTTTTTTCTGGGCTGTCAAAGTGATTATATATATAAAAATTAATAAAAGCTGTCAAGTTAAGTATTCATCACATAATATTTTCATAATTTATTTTGACTTTAGAACAGTGACAATATAAAATGATTTTATTTTGGAAACAACATGTTGTCTTTGTTTTTCTTCTGCCTTTATACTGAATTTATGAAGGGGATCATTATATGATGTAAAACCCTGACACTAGATGGACTAGGCAAGTGTATATGCGACCCTGGACCACAAAACCAGTGACAATTTTTTGAAATTTAGATTTATACATCATCTGAATTCCATTGATGTATGGTTTGTTAGTATAGGACAATATTTAGCCGAAATACAACTATTTGAAAATCTGGAATCTCAGGGTGCAAAAAAAAAAAATCAAAATATTGAGAAAATCACTTTTAAAGTTGTCCAAATGAAGTTCTTAGCAATGCATATTACTAATCAAAAATTACGTTTTGATATTTACGGTAGGAAATGTACAAAATATCTTCATAGAACATGATCTTTACTTAATATCCTAATGATTTTTGGCATAAAAGAAAAATCGATCATTTTGACCCATACAATGTATTGTTGGCTATTACTACAAATATACCCGTGCGACTTATGACTGGTTTTGTGCTCCAGGGTCACATATGTTATGCTGTTACTGTTATACCGTTGTTCACTGACGAGCTGCACAAAAAATCGCGCGAATATGAACGTGGTTTTGCGCAGCTCATCAGTGAACAACGGCTCTGTGTAGTTAATGCTGCTCAATGTGAAAGCCCGCAGGTGATGGAGATTTACCGCTGATTACAGAACCGGCTTTCTGACAAGATGCGCATTAAATATCGCATGCGATTTATCGTGCAGCCCTAATCTATACATATCTATGGTTATACTGTGATATACTGATAATGTACCGTAGGTGCCTGGGTTCAAAACCTGCCATATTTTAACTTGCTTATGTAGCAAGCGATCCTCAGCTTTCATAATTTGACAATAACTCCTTTTGTTTTCCAAAAAGCCATACGAGTTTGGAGCGACAGGATGGTGAGTAAATGTACGTTAGAATCATGTGTGCAATAGAAGATTGTCTGTGGAAAGAGAGTGATGCCACACCGTTCAAAGTTGCATCCCAAATGCACATGCCTGTTAAGATAACTGAGTTTGAATGACACTTCTGAGCGTTTTATGACATTCTGTGTGATTGACACGTTGCTCTCTCACATCTCCTGCATGTGTCAGCAGCCCAGATTAGAACACTGCTAATAAACAAAGCCTCTTTTCTGTCATCCTGTCAGGTATCAGGGATGCTGGGTCATGCATGGCCAATATTTTGGCACTAACAGTAAAACAATACATTAGGGTTCATCATTAGGATTGAAGGCTCGTGTTGGTTTGTGTTTGTGTGAATGTCTGCGGTGGTCTGTCATCTGCACTGCTTTTAAATCGTCACACAGACACATCATAGATGAGAGGCCCAGTAGACTCGATGAATGTGTCTTCATGTTTGATGTGTAGTCCAGTCTAATGATGATCGCAGCACCACTTCATTACTGCTGCACACCTCATCCCCTCTCTCTGGATCTGTTTCAGTACATAGATGGCGCTCTTCCACCCGAGTCCCCGTACCTATACGGCCTGCACCCGAACGCAGAGATCGGCTTCCTCACGCAGACGTCAGAGAAGCTCTTCCGCACCGTGCTGGAAATGCAGCCCAGAGACGGAGGATCGGGAGAAGGAACGTCCGGATCACGCGACGAGAAGGTTCTGGAGAAACGCTCACATTCGATTGAAAAACACTTTCACCCAATTATTTAGCTACGATTTGTAATAGTATGAAAAGGGGAAGGGAAACATTAATATTTCAAAGTATTGCAGTATTTTACCTCTTGATACTGTATCGATGTTCTCACAGCAAAAAAAATCAATACTTGTTGTTAAATATTCCACATGAATGTTTTGAGGGAAAAGGAGATGAACACACACTGAATTTCTATTTGATCCAAATCCAAACTCAGAACAAGCTAAAAATATACTTGTACAGGGGCGTCTAGTTTCCACTGGGGAAACTGAAACTAGCAAGTACAACCCCACAATATTTATACCACGGTTAATGGAAACGTGTAGAATTATACATTAATTATATTCATTGTGTTTAGAGATTTTATGATAAGCGCTATATTCCCATCTGAAACATGCAACTAGGACCAATCATCTGCACAAAATGACTGAAGACCAGTTTAATTTTGCATGAGTAGCGTGCAAATCTTTGTACAGGCTGTTCAGCGTGTTTCAAACGGGTAAAAAATTTGCAAGCTGCTCCCGTCAAAACAGTATGCAACCCATTTGAATTGTAGGAATAATTTACTACTTACAAAAGGAGAATGGATAAGAACAAACATCTAAATTAACCACACAACCTAAAAAGACAGACAAGAAGAAGAAGAAAGACCTTTTAAACTACTGATGACCAGTGTTGGGGAAAGTTACTTTTAAAAGTAATGCATTACAATATTGCGTTACTCCCTAAAAAAGTCACTAATTACATTACTTAGTTACTTTTTATGGAAAGTAATGTGTTATATTACTTTTGCGTTACTTTCGTGTTACTTTTTTAAATATGAGCAGGGCTTGAATGTTTTTAATATAAGAAGTTCTATTTATAGCAAATATAAAAGCCCTTTCTCACCAAAAAGTGTAATGAATAAACCTCAGGCTGAAGCAAAAGTAAATTCACGTCTGTACAGTAGAACGCAGGAGAAGAAACAGTCTTCAGCAATAAAAAAACGAAGCACAATTGTTAGTTTCTCTAAAGTCATTTTTGCTTATTAGTATGGTTGAACTGGATCATCAAAGGTCAGCAGCAAAGACATTGGTTAATAAAATGGGATTAGATACATTTGTGTTATTTAACATTTAATTATTTCAGGTTTGCGTCATATTCTGAGTTTGCATTTCACTGTTTTAATTCATTTTGATTAATACTAAATCTGTTTTTTGTGAGTGGGATGAATTAATGCACATTCACATTTAGTCTAGAACTACAGTAACATCATGTTCACTCAGCGCACACAACTCCTCTGCACTTCCGATTTCTCCCAATATGGGGACAGGAGACTTGTCAGTCAATAAATGGGAAAACAAAGTAACTGGCATTACTTTTTTGAAAAAGTAACTCAGATATTTTCTTCTAAATTAAAAAAGTAATGCATTACTTTACTAGTTACTTGAAAAAAGTAATCTGATTACGTAACTTGCGTTACTTGTAATGAGTTACCCCCAACACTGCTGATGACCACACTAGAATTTACCACGGTTTAGTGTACAGTAGTAACTAGTTACTGTGGTAAATTTTGACTAGCATGTTGATGCATGTTTTCTTCAGATTTAGCATTATGTTGTAGCTATATTTTCTAAATGTATAGGCTGCTATTTTTCATAATACTATCGATTTAAAACAGAAATACAGTAAAAGTAAGCATAGTAATGAGGAGCCATCAATGTTCTTACCTGTAATCAAAGCCTTACTGCAGTAAAAGCTACAGTTAAAGGGTTAGTTCACCCACAAATGAAAATTGGCTTGTTTTACTCACCCTCGAAGCATCCTAGGTGTATATGACTTTCGTCTTTCAGACGAATCCAGTCGGAGTTATATTAAAAATTGTCCTGGCT